TTTCCTATGAATTTCTATTCAGCAGGAAGAATATACTTTAGAACAGTCGAAGAATTTTTGAACACTTAAGTCAAACAAAACACATATTCATAGTATTCATTTTGTAATTATCTTTCAAGTCAGAAAATAAAATAGCTTTATAATACTGCAAACTTGTTGCAAGATAATGTCTTAATTCTATTTATCATGGTTTAGAATCGTAATTCATAGTAGAAACTTTAGTAGTGTTCTTTGTTAATTTGAAACTAAATTTCATGAATGGCTTTTAAACAAATATCCAACGACTGTCTTTATTATATTTTCATCGTCTATTAATCAATTTTAGTTTGTATTAATAATAAGTCATTTTTGTAAAAATTGATTATAGAACATAACAAAATGTTTAAAGAAACTTTTATAAGTCTGTTATATTTGGATTGTAGTTAAAGGCATTTGATTGAGAGCATATAGATAATAAGTTGAGGACGCATTTTGTATCTTTTATAAAATAGTATTCTTTTGAGGGTGGATGAGGATGCGCATTATTCATAAAGATGGGTGTGCGTTTCTCTTCTTCTTCAACACTCACCCACACCCTGAAACATTTAATCCGAATAGAAAAAAACTGAATATGTATTCAATAATTAATTTAAAATAATAAAATAATTAATGAGTGTTTTTTTTCTTTCTCTTCAATATTGTCGATAACACACATACAACCTATTACACATATGAATAAAGATTATCAAAATACATATGGAAAAAAAAACATAATAACACTCGAGAAAATGAATTGATAAATTTAAAAAAGCACAATAAAAGAAAGAATCAAATTTAAATAAATCAATATATAAAAAACTGACTATGATCATAAATTTGCGTTTTGTTACCAGAAAAAGAAGTCAAACAAAATATCTCATTTCATTTTTTGCTTTTTTTTCCATCCTATAAAATAAAATAAAAACATTTGATCTGTATATATATTCTTTTCTTTTCTCAATATTAACCTTCGGATTCGTAAGTAATTGATGTTGAAGTCTACCAATTTTATCATTCTGTGATGTAATCTGTTCATTCATAGATGCTAAATGCTCCGTCATTGTCACTATTTGTTCTTCATATCCTTTCGTTGTTGTGGATAATTCATCCTAAATAAATAAAATTATTTAAAAATTTACTAAAAAAATAACTCAAACCTTCATTTTTGTTAATTCTACTTGTGATTGTTCAATTTCAGTTCGACATTTAGCTTCTTGATCTTTGGAATGTCTTAAGCGTTGATGAATATTTGCTAACTAATAATAATATTAAAAAAAGTATGAATGCAAAATATTTCAAATTTAAATTACTTCATTATAAAATGCAATTCCTTTGCCATTTGCCAATTGTAATTTAGTTTCTAGATCGAGAACTTTTTGTGAATAATATTGTTTTATCATCATTTCACGTTCACTCGGTGGATCAGAACTTGTTCGAGACTCTCGCTGAATATTGATTGTTGACTAAAAAATGAATTCGAATAAAATTTTCGAAAAAAAAATTCAGATAAAATATTTACAGTTGTTGGTGAAGTCGAAATAATTTCATCGATTTGTTCATTTGTTGTTATTGGTTGATTTGTTTTATCTTTTAATTCATCAATTTGTTTCGAATAATCATCACGCATTTTTTCAAATTTTATTTTTAATAATTGATATTCCAAACGCCAATGTTCTTTTTCTTGTTCGAGTGTACCAATTGCTTCTGCATTACAAAGTATCTAAAATGAATTTATATGTATAAACATCAAATTTCTTTTATTTATCTACTTGTTTTTTCTGAACATTAGATAATTGTTGATGAGAATTTTCGGAAAAATCTAAAAGTAAATTTTCTTCTTGTTGTTGTAACATTTCTTTCTGTCGTTTTTGTAATTCAAAAAGATATGTTTGATTTTCTCGAATTAATTGCGCAATCTAATCATATATATTAATTAAAGAGAATATTCAAATAAATTAAATTTTTTTATTTACTTGTTGTTCAAGACTTGCTAATTTTCTCAATGCTGCTAATATACATTCATCAGTCGTTGTTAAATGTACAGGAGAAGCAGTTAATTCATATTCCAAACATAATTTATCATTATAGTTCTTATCAAGATCTATAAGAATATATTTTTTGAGCATAATTTTCTACATAGATAAATAAAATACGAACCACAATGAATAAGTGCACCTGCTTGAAATATCGAAAACATTTCAGTAACTTTTATTTGAAGTTCATCAGCTATCGTTGGTGAAGATAAATCTATTAAAAAAATTAAAATTACTATAAGATTTGAATTTTATTGTTAATTACCATATTGAATAATTTCAGCAGCTATTTCACGTAATTGTGATAAATTCTGTGCCCATCGTTGAAATAATTGATTGAGTACATCATTTAATTTATTGATTTTCTCACAAATCTTCTCTTGATTGTCTGATGATGAACTCATTTTTGGTTCATCACACACACTACATAATAAAATATGGTTTTAAGTTAGAAAAAAATCGACTATATTTATTACCTTTTAATAGCAAAAGCAAGTACTTTTTCACAGGATGAAACAAACATACTAAATAATTCAGCAAAACCTGTCGTGTTCTCATATTCTAATGAACACTTAAAATATAAAAACAAATAAATGAATTTATCTTTCGGAATTAGTCAATGATTTACTTGTCCATCAAACAAACGTATTTTTAATTCAACAAGAAAATTTTCTGCATGTTGTTGAAAAGCTTTAGCTGTATGAGCCATCTAATGAAAAAGATAAGTTTTCTTTTTAAATAAAATAATTTATTAATTACTTTTTCATTATTTTCTGATGATCGATTATTATTTTTTAATCGTTCTTCAATATAAATCGTTAATTCAGTATATGCATCTCGCCATGCATTTAAATATTTATATAAAAATATTTCCGCTTGAGGAGATGGAGATAATTCATTAACTGTTTTGACTGGTGCAGTTAAAGTAGATCTAAATAAATTTAATAAAAAGTAGGTCATTTTTAATGATGAAACAAGGATAACTAACGATTTTCGACTAACAACAGTAGAAGATGGTTTTTCAGTTAAATGTTGTTTAACTTGTTCATTAAGTAATTCATTTTCTTGTTTGATTTGTTTTAAAATTCTTTCATATTCATCACGAGCTCTTTGATGACTTTCTTGCATTTCTGCCATTTGATTCTGTAACTGTTCAATATTCGAACGATTAGCTAATCGTTCATTTTCGGTATCAGCTATTTGCTTTTCTAACTCATAAACCTATATTAAAATAATTATTAAGTTTTATATAATGTCTAATTCTTACTCGTCGATGAATTGTTTCATATTGTTTGATTTTCTGTTCAAGTTCTTGCGCAAGTACATTATCATTGAAAGGATTATTACTAGTTTGAAAATTTTTATTGCTATTTGATTTTTTTAATTTTGAATGTGATCCAAAATCATTAAGCTCTTGTTGAAGAATTTCAAGACGAGATTGAAGTTGTGTGTTAAGAAATGAAAGTGTTTCAATTTCTTGTCCATTTCGTCTTAAATTTTGATCTCTTCGATTTACATCTTCCTCGAATAAGAAATGCAAAAAAAAGAATAGATGAAATAATCAAATAAATCGAATTACTTGTAATTGTTGATTTTTACTTTGTTCATCAAGAACAGCTTTTTTCAAAACAGTTACTTGTCCTCGAACTTTAGAAAATTCACTTGCTAATATTTGATATTTATTTTGTAAATCCATTTAAACATCTGAAACAAGAATTAAGGTTTAGTGGTTTTTTTTTCTCCACTTAAAATGAACAAGAACAACAACAACATCAAACAAAGTGAACTCTAATCTATCAGATAAAACGAACATATATTTTATTATAATGTTAAACTTTGTATTGCCGTTTCAATAACTGGAAGAAGATCTGGTATTGCTTCACGATATTTTTGTATAATTTGTTCGCGTGCCCATTGAATTTGTTCAATAAATGATTGATTAGTATCATTCGAAGCTTGTGTTTTCGAAGCTGTTGATGGATTTTTTATTGAAAGATTTGTAGATGTTAAAATAACTCCATATAAAGCTCGAATATTTGATGGATTTATTTTTAATGTACTAAAATAATATGTTCGAGCTTTATCATAATCACCTTGCGAATAACGAATTGATGCATAACGTTCATGATTTAAATGATTATGAGGATTTATTAAAAGAAGTTCTTCAGCACAAAATGTCGCCTTCGTATAATCATGTTCAGATAAATAAAGATCGCATAATTCACTCCATGCTTCTTGATCTGCCTTTAATTATAAGAAAATAAATAAAATAAACAAAAAAAAGAATTAATATTTTTAATTTACTTGATAAAGTTCTAAATATGAATTTAATTCACTAATAGCTTCACGTATTTGATTTTGTTCTTTCAAAAGACTTATTTGTCTTTTACGTACAATAGCATCTGTTTCATTATCTTCTAATAATGACGCATAAATCTCTTCAGCATGTCCATATTCTTCAATGGATTCATAATACATTGCATTTAATGTCGATACACGACGACTTGTTCTTTTAAATTGTTTTTCTAATTGATCAAGACATTGACGTGCAATTGATTGTTTTGAACAATGTAAAGCTGATTTAAATATTTGTTCAAGTATTAACCATTTTTCATCACCTAATGATGATAAATTTCGATTAGATAAAACATTTGTCCATAATTCAATTATTTCATCATGTGCACGATAATTTTCATCACGATATTTACGAAGTTTTTCAATAGCTGATTGCATACTTAGTTTTTCTAAAGATAATATTAAAGTTTTTGTTTTTAAAAAAAAAGAAAAAAAATGTAAAGGATAAAATGAAATGAGGCATACATCAATCCTTCTTTTTTTTATCATTATTATCCAACACTTCAATATATGATTGGTTCAAAAATACAACCAATATAATTTATATTCAGAAGACATATCTACATACAGAGTCATCTATTTCTATTCAAATTTTTTATAGTTTACAAATTCGTTCATGTTACTGTGAAGTTTTCACATGCTATAAGCCATATCAATATTCATATTGGTATTTAATCTTATTATTCTTTATTTCACTAGTTTTTGTTTGATTAAATCCATAAATTTAATTTGCAAACTTTTATTACCTTTAGTGATAGTTTCCTGTAAACTTGACAGGTTTTTATAAGTACTTAGAAATCAATTTATCTGTACTGATATTTTTATTCCGACGATAATTTGTACGTAACTAAAGTCACGTTAATAAACACGTGCAAGCAACGTGATTTGCCCTCGTTGGCTCTTCATCTGACTGAGAGAAAAAGAAAAGAATTAGCTTTTTTCATTTTTCTCCCGTCACAGAGTACAGTAACGTAAATAATACTATTTTTAATATCATTCATTTATAAGGCTACATTATCACTACGGTGAGCAGTCTAAGATCGATTTATTTATACTCAGTAATATGATGTGCATGTTTTCATTATATAATGAGTAGAAGTTTATATTTTCGGTCATTTGTAGATTTCATTACAAATAATAAAGATGAGTACAAATAATTTCGTAGAATTTGATCAATCAAAATGTGTCGACAAAAAATATGGGCATCAACATGTTAGTAAGTAATTTATTTAATAAATATCTTATTTATTTTTATAAAACAATTAATATGTATAGTGTCTTCATTTACAACTTATCCAATTGAAACTATTCGAGATGAAATTCGAAAGTCACCAATTAAACCACCTACTATTACACCAAAATATGATTCAAATTCGATGTCAACTGTGCTCGAGTGGCATGTATGTTTTAATCTAATTGAAAATATTATTCAAATAAAATTTTTAGGGTAAAAAAGATGTTCGAATTGCTCAACGACCTAAACCAATAATAACAGATGATTCAGATGCTATTATTCATGTAACATCATCAACAATTTGTGGAAGTGATTTACATATGTGTAAGTAAATGAATTAAGAAATTGATTTCTATTTGAATACTTTTTTTTATAGATAATGGAGATATGAAAGGTATGCTATCAAAAGATATTATTGGTCATGAATGTAAGTTTTTTTTTAAATAGTTTATTATATAAATTAAATTGTTGTATGAAAAGGTATGGGTATTGTTGAGAGTATTGGTCCTAATGTAAAAAATATTAAAGTTGGTGATCGAGTTGTTGTCAGTGCACCAATTGCATGTGGACAATGTGAATGTAATTTATTTGAATTTACTTTTTTCCTAGAATATGAATTCGTTTGTATAGATTGTAAAACTGGTTTATTCTCATTATGTGATATAACAAATGATTCAAAGGTTATGGAAACAATGTATGGTCATAGAATTTGTGGAGCATTTGGTTATTCTCATTTAACAGGTGGTTATGATGGATGTCAAGCTGAATGGGTTCGTGTCCCATTCGCTGACGTTAATTTATTAAAAATTGAAAATAATCGATTAACTGATGAACAAGTTTTATTTCTTAGTGATATTGTTTGTACTGGTAAGTTATTTTTCTTGTTTAAATTATAATATAATATTGAATTATCAATATTGTAGCATGGCATGCAAATGTCTTAGGTGGAGTTGGTCCAGGAACAACAGTAGCTGTTTGGTAAGTTTCCAGATTCATTATTTTTGTAATAAATAATTGAATCAAATAGGGGTGCTGGCCCTGTTGGTTTATTAACTGTTATGTGGGCTAAATATCGAGGTGCAAAACGTATTTTTTCAATTGATTGTATTGAAGAACGTTTGGCGAAAGCTCGAACACAAGGTGCAGAAACAATTGACTTTTCTAAAGATAATGTTATTGAAACTATGCAAAAATTATTACCTGGTAAAATTTTTTACTACACACATGATATAAATAGAACACTTCATTTATTTTTTTAAATAGGCGGTCCTGATGTATGTATTGATGCAGTCGGTTTCCGTTATACAAAGGGTGAGATACGATAAATCATTCAATTTAAATTAAGAATTATTTTCAATGTATGCATTTCTTAATAGGCATGGTTCATAAAATGCAACGAGCTGTCTTTCTTGAAACGGACTCACCTGAAGTTTTAGATGAAGCAATTGTTGTTGTTCGAAAAGGAGGCAGTGTTGCTATCATTGGAGATTAGTGAGTCATAGTCCATACTGTTCTTTTCTAATATCGCATGTTTTCTTTCTAGCTTTTATAAATCAAATCAATTTCCAATTGGTAAGATTTATTATATTTAGATGTTTATAAATTAACTTTTTATTTTGTTTATCTTTAGGCACTTTTATGGAAAAAGGTAAGTGTAATAATTTGTAAATAAAGTTTATAAGAATTTGACTATTTTCAGCTGTAACAATGCGAGGTGGACAACTCTATTGTCAAAGTTATTGGCATGATCTTCTTAAAATTATCGAAAATGGGGTAAATTTTTTTTCTTTTCTGCTTTTATATTAATTAAAAAATTAATTATTGTCGATATTTTAGGAAGTTGATCCAACATTTATTATTACGCACACAATGGAATTATCACGAGGTTAGTTTGATATATTGACATTTTTTTCATTGATTCATTAATATTTTTTTAGCTGCTGAAGCTTATAAAATGTTTGACGAAAAGTCAGATGGAACAATGTAAGCACACCTTAAATGAATATTCACTAGATACTATAGTCTTTTATTTTAGTAAAGTAGTACTCAAAACTGCTTTTGCTGCTGTTCAACAAACCTCAAATTAATCCAGCAATTTTTTTTAACAAATGAATTTTTTATTTGTATTTCTTTTTTTATAGTCAAGCTATTTATTTTGTAATTTGTCTTATTTGGAATAAATCGAACAAATCGATCAAATATTTATAAGAATCTATCGTGATAAACTATTTTGAAATATCGAATTCTAAGACTGTTTTCCATTCAGATAGTTTTCCACTTGTATCAACTAATTGAATTTTTCCACCTTGCCATGTTTTATTAATTAGTGTTGAAAGATCAATTTGATTAATTAATTCTTCATCATTACAATCTTTTTTTTCAGCATATATTAATGAAATATGTGGATCGTATTCATTCGTCCATTTATTAATATCTTCATCATTATTAACAAATGTTTGTTTTGAGAAACGAGCAAGGGAAACAAGAGAATCAGTTTTTTTACATCGTACAAATATGCGTTTAAAAAATTCTGATCCTGTTTCCAAAGTTTTAATATGAACATCAGGTAAAGAATGGTTAGCAAAATAAGTATTAAGTGATGATTTGATATCTTCAATTGATGTTGTAAGTGGAATTTTTGAAACAATTGTGACATGTGGAGCAAATGAACACCCAAAAGATTTTATTATAGACGTTAGAGATGTAGCAATTTTTGAGCTTGTAGGTGGAAGAAGCCATAATGAATAACCCATTTTAAATAATTATAAATAGATACTATTGTATAGAAAACAAATTTATATGACTTATGCATATCGGTATTGGTTGGTTTTCCACTAGTAAGAAAAATTAACAATATTTCTTTTATATGAAATTTAAGTTTAATAATTATATTATTTGCAATTTGACGTTCATTGATCTTATTTATATCATATTTATATTAAGTTCATTCTATACATTTAATATAAGGTAGCTATTAATAGTTGCCGTTAGCTGTCGATAAAATCAATACATAACAGCAGACTTATTGATGTAACCAACGTCAGATTAAATAAGTATTTTCAACTTTCTATAGAAAATAAAAGTTAACCATATAAAACATGTTTTCATCAATGTCAAAACTCAACAATAATAAATTCTTCTAGATAAAAAAAGTCAATATTTATATTAAATATCAAAAAACATTGAATATATACCAGTAAATTAAACGATTTAATGTTGATCTTTCTTATTGTTGTTTGATAAAGTCATAACAATTGCTTATTTGAAGCGGTAAAGTAAAATGTGCATGCATCTCCTTTAATTATCAAAATAAAAAGTATCAACATGAAATTGATATCCTTTCGTTTTTCGATTCCGAACAGAAGATTTAGTTCGTGTACAGGGAGCATCGCAAAAATACTCTTTCGAGATAATTAAAACTCAGTATACAACTGTGAATTGAATAAAATGAATATCTATACGAAACTCTTAATTGTATCACAAATCGTGTATCTTTCATGGAACTACTCTTCACATAAATTCTGTTGAATTAGATGAAAATGATTTAATTCGTACTGAATACTAACATGATCTGTTTCACAAATAGTTATATAGTCTTTATAACATAGAGATTTTCTCAATGTTGTTTAATTCTTTTTATTCGTTGTTTATATGGATTGAACACATAATGAATGAGGGTGTGAATGGGATAAATACCATGAACTTACACCTTCAGTGTTTACTAATGGTTCAGAGCCATTTTCGTTGATAGTCTGGACTAGTCCGATGCAGTATCGGATATGCCTGATCAACACAACCAATCATGACGGCCATTGTAGACTAGTTATACCATCTTTTGTCAGTATGATTTTGACCTGTCTGACATTGTTAAGCTGTATCCTATTTATACAAGTGAGTCATATGCATTGAAGAGAAAGCAATGAATTTTAACTTATTACCTAACGAAATCTTACTTACTTTCTTCGATTATCTGGATGGTGATGATCTTCTTCATGCATTTGATGGTCTCAATGCTCGTATCAATGCTCTTCTCTACAAACAATATCGACGTTATTACTTCGATTTCTCCGTACTATCCAAACGTAATTTTGATTTAATATGTCAACAATACATTCCATTAATTGCTGATCACATTCTTGCTCTTCATCTTTCTGACTCTGAATTGACTCCAGGACAAATTAGTCTATTTTTTTCTTATATACCATCGTTGAGACAATTCACTCATTTACGTTCGCTTTCATTTACTTACCTTCGTTCAAAAGACATTCTACTTAATGTCGCCATTGAATTGCCTCATCTTGTTCAACTTACTCATTTGGAGTTCAAGTCTTGTTCCATTCCAGACTATGATGAAACGGATTTCGAACTGCTGACAAATAATATTTGGAACTTGCCGAACTTAACTCATTGTTATTTCAATATTGATAAGACAGAACAACAATCGTTTATTATACCGTCAAAGATCTCGTCATCACTTAAATATTTATCTATCAATAACGATGTATTAAATTGGAATTTAATCAATCGATTGTTTCAACATACACCAAATCTCAAATATCTTCGCGCACATATTGATTGTTCGAAAAATGGTGACGGTTACATAGGATCATCTTTTTCAACATTGACTAGTTTAAACATTTTTATTGCTGGAAGTCACTCATCAAAAATCATCCCATTTTTGCAGAATACACCGAATTTACATCATCTGAACATTAGAATAGCAGGTCCCAATTTCATTGATGGTTATCAATGGGAAGATCTCATACGTAACTATTTACTAAAACTGAAAACGTTTCACTTTTCAATGATAAATTTACATTGTATTCGATTGATGACAGAGGAACAAATTCATGAATTAATGCATTCATTTCGAAGTTCATTTTGGATTGATGAACATCAATGGTTTGTTCGATGTATAGGTGATGGATACTATATTCGTTTTGAAACTGTGTCGAACGCATTTCGTTATGCTGCTGGCACGCTTCCTAGTGTGTTCAAATCAACAGATTCATAAGACAATATTGAAAGACTTTATACTTCTATGAGTAGTATCTCGGATGAGGCACTTTTCGATCGATCAATTTCATCGAAGATTTGTTTTCCAAACATTGATTCTCTTTCAGTAAAATGTCCTATCAATGATCAATACTGGTCGATGGTTTCAAATTTACAGCAAGTCTCATCGCTTTCATTACGTTTCACTACTAATTTTTCACAATCTGAATTACAAACTTTTCTCAATAGAATGCCTCATCTTCGCTCATTGACTATTCGTCAAAATGCATCATTACCTTTGTCAATGTCATTATTTAATTGTACATTTCCATCATCAATTCATTATTTGCATTTAGAATATTGTAAACATTATTTCAATGAAGAAGACTGTATTATATTAACTCATTCTTCATTGATTAGTCAGATTAAGCAGCTTGACATTCTAGTGAAGAATCGTGAAAGTATTATTATTCTTGTGAACAACATGTCCAATCTTTGTACATTACGTGCTCGTTTTACGGATGAAATAATCTTTGAATCTAGGCCTTCAAGAATACGTAATAACGTGGATGCTGAAATTATCCTATGCAAAGATGAAGATATTCAATGGTTGGTCACCCATTTACCATCAACCTGTGCAATAAGTAGACATCCATGTTGTGTTAATCATCTTCGAATATGGATTAAATAATGACAATAATATTTCTATGTATACTAAATGCTTATTGTTTTTCTTGTAAAATAAAAGTCATTCCAAATGAGTATAGATAATAATTTCTTTTTGTTTTCATAATAGATTAATAGCTTGAGGATATGAGTCCTTGTTATTTATTTACACTCCCTTATCCTCATCCGTCATCAGTTTGAAAAGTTCAATGTCGATATATTTCGTTCAACGCTGTAATCAGTAAAAAATATTTAATATTGCTGATGTTCTTCTCGTTACTCGATTAAATTGAATATTAAAACTACAACAAATTCTTAGAGATTGTGTCAATGCAGATGAACCATGACATGATATCGATTCAGATAAATAAAGCGAAAGAAAAAAAACTTTTATAAACACTGAAGATAATCAGCCTATAATCATTATTTGAATCTTCGAATTTTTATTTCACAAATTTAATGAACCGTATCATTTGCTTTTCATTTCGAATTAATCAATGATAGAATCAATCGATTTGTTGCTTGTAATATAATACAGATATTATAATAGGATTGGATCCAAAATGTCTACTCTAACACTTCTATACTCTCTTTTAGATTGTATTTAACAAGATCACTAAAAGAATTATTATTGTTTAGATTTAATATTTCAAATTGACATAGAATAGTAGTAAACTAAGTTTTTGTTTTTGATTTTCTAATTTTTAATTAACGATAAAAAAGAAAATGAGAAATTCTATACGAACTTACTTTTCTGACAGTTAAGACTAGAATTTATTTATGGTTGACCAACATAACATCGTCATAGTAGAAGACTACTTTGTTAAAGATATATAAGCACCCAATTATTTCATCTATAAAATGATAAGATATGCTATTCATTTTTAATCATTATTCAAATTAAAATCAATTTTAAGAATGTAAATAACTGGGTTATATCATCGTTAAGATAATTCACTTTATACCGTTTTCAAATTGTTAAATTATTTCCAATGTCTTGAAAAGAATTGATACTGTTTATGACACTAGTTGAGGATGTGGATATCAGTTAGAGACCGCATCCACACCCTTTAGTTCATAAAATGAATTATCAATGATAATATCAAGTTCGAATGTCTTGCTAATACGAAGAATAATTCAGATCTGTCAATGAATTGGTTGACGTTGATTTTTCTATTGATAATTTGTTCATCTTCAAAATTCTAAGATGAATATGTGTTGTCTTTCAATGAGCTGACAATTATTGAACAAAGAACAGAAGTTCAGTCAATAAAACAAAATAATTAGTTCATGTAATATGTATTCATTTGCTTGTTGAACACTAAACTGATGATATTAAAGAAGTTTAGTTGAATATGTTCTCACTTTTTAGAATAAGATAAAATAATTAATTGTAAGTGAAATAAAATATTTTTATAAAATCATTTTCTTTTCCAAGGAGAAAAATCAAAAAATAACTTAATAAAACCTTTACGTAAGAATTTTTATTTTGTTTTTCAATTATTTTTAAATTTTTCTATTGATAAAAACCATTTATTTAAAGAGAGAAAGATTTTTTTTATTAAACAGCTTTTTCTTTTAAGAAAAGGATTTTCTTAATCTAATTTTTCCATTTTGACAGATTTCATTATTATTCTTTTACCTTTTTTCTTCTTTCTTCCCTTTGTTTTAATAAATGATAGAATCACAAAATAAATCAGATAAAAAAACAATTTGTTTCTATTTCCACGTTTTTAATTTTCAATATTTTTCTTAATTTGAAAAATATTTTATTTGATTTTTCTATAAATATAAAACTTTTTTTAACCCAGTCTTCTTTGAAATTCTTTTAATTTGATTCATTCAACAAAAGTTCTATTCGAATTATTTTATTTATTTTGGTTTTTTAATTTTAAGTTAAAATTAAAGAATATTTATTTACTTTTTTTTGTCTAAAATGAAAAATAAATTTATTTAATTCATTTTTATAAATTAATATTTTTTATTTATTTTGAAGAATAAAAATCGAAATTTTATTAGATTAAATTAAAAGTATCTTTAATTTAAAATTGTTTCATATTTTTGGATTCGATGATTTATACAATCAGCAACATAAAGATTTCCCTCATTATCAAATGATAAACCTTGGGGATAATTCAATTGATTTGATTGATTTCCTTCACCATTTCCACCAGCAACAATTTCCCCTTT